CAGACCTCTCTTTTTGCAAGGGTTGCATGTTGGCAGTGCTTCTACCTCTAAAAAAATAAAGGAAAATGAAACTCTAGCCTTTGCTACTTTTGTTAAAAAAATGCCTACGGATGCACCGTACATGCAAAAGCAACCAAGTTGGATAGGAGGAAGCACATCACTTGGACCCCTTCCAGTCGGGTTTCAGGCTGCATCCTGAGACTGAAACTGCCTTGCTCTAGCTGGTCCAAGATCTCCTGTGGTTTGGCAGATGTGTGTTCAGACCCCTGGGCTCTCACTTGTGGGGTGCCTCAGGGCTCTGTCCTCTCCCCCATGCTTTTTAACATGCATATAAAACTGCTGAGAGAGACCATCAGGGGGTTTGGGCTGGGGTTCATCAGTATGCGGATGATACCCAGCTCTACCTCTCTTTCAAATCAGAAGCAGTGAAGGTCCTGCGTGAGTGTCTGGAGGAGGTTGGAGGATGGATGGCAGCTAATGGATGGAGGTTGAATCCTGACAAGACAGAAATACTGTTTTTGAGGGACAGGGGGGCAGGCGGGTGTGGAGGGCTCACTGGTCCTGAATGGGGTAATTGTACCCCTGAAGGACCAGGTGCACAGCCAGGGAGTCATTTTGGACTCGCAGGTGTCCATGGAGGTGCAGGTCAATTCTGCATCCAGGGCAGCTGTTTACCAGCTCAATTTGGTATGCAGGCTGAGACCCTACCTGCCCGCAGACTGTCTCGCCAGAGTGGTGCATACTCTGTTTATCTCCGGCTTGGATGACTGCAATGCGCTCTACGTGCGGTGGCCTTAGAAGGTGGCTTGGAAACTACAACTAATTCAGAATGTGGCAGCTGGACTGGTGACTGGGAGCGGCCGCCAGGACCATATAACACTGGTCCTGAAAGACCTGCATTGGCTCCCGGTATGTTTCTGAGCGCAATTCAGAGTGTTGGTGCATACCCTAATTGGCCTTGGCCCTGTATACCGGATGGAGCAAATCCACCCCCATTGTTCAGCCCAGACACTGAGATCCAGCTCAGAGGGTCTTCTGCTGGTTCCCTCACTCCAAGAAGAAAGTTACAGGGAAGCAGGCAGAGGGCCTTCTTGGTGGTGGCGCCCGCCCTGTGAAATGCTCTCCCATGAGATGTATTGAGATGCCATGCAGATAAAGAACCACAGTACATAACTTTTAGAAGACTCCAGAGTGTCTGGGGCAACCCAATCATGATGATGATGATGATGATGATTGCTTGTCACAAAAGCAGTAGCCCTGGGGTAGCCACATGATGCTTATAAGTGAAAATGGACCGACCAGGGGATTCACTGGTACCTGCAGCATCTTTTCTTTCCAAATGTGTACCATTCTTCCAGTGGAGTTGTGTTTGGGCCACAGATGGAGAGGTAAGGGTTAACTTTCCCTTCACACTTCGACCCCTCTCTGTGCCCTATTGGTTTCTTGTTTCCTGTAATAGTAGGTATGTCTTCGTTCATGGATTTGTAGGAAGTTCTCCTATGGTTTCTCCCCTCTGGGTGCTAAGTTGGGGACAATCAGGCATGAGTTTCCACTCATGTATTTTACACCCTCTCGTGTCACCTGCCACTTGCCCACACTGCCCTGTTCCAACCGTCCCACCTCATGCAAGATGCACACCTAAGAGCTGAGACTTTCTTCCTTATTCCACTAAAAAAGTAAAGGTAAAGGGACCCCAGACCATTAGGTCCAGTCGCGGACGACTCTGGAGTTGCGGCGCTCGTCTCGCTTTAATTGGCCGAGGGAGCCGGCGTACAGCTTCCGGGTCGTGGCCAGCATGACTAAGCCGCTTCTGGCAAACCACAGCAGCGCACAGAAACGCCGTTTACCTTCCCGCCGGAGCAGTACCTATTTATCTACTTACAATTCGTTCTTTCGAAATCCTAGGTTGGCTGGAGCTGGGACCGAGCAACGGGAACTCACCCTATCGGGGGGACTGGAACTGCCAACCTTCTGATCTAAACATCCCCTTTATTCCTGCTGCCACCAGGTATGTTTTACCTGAACAATTTGCCCTTCAAAGAATCAGGAGTCATTGCAGCACAATTAATGTATAAACTATTTGTTGCTTTATTATTATTATTACTACCGTATTTTTCGCCCCATAGGGCACACCGGACCATACGGTGTGCCTAGTTTTTAGGGGGGTGGGGTGGGAATAAAGAAAAAAAATTATTTCCCCCCCCGACAGCCCCCAAAAGCAAAGAAGCCAAGACAGCTGTCTTGGCTTCCTCTTTAGCCACGCACAACCTGTCCAGCCGGGAGAAGCTGCGCACGGCTTTGTTTTTAGCCGCGGGGCTGGGACGGGGAAAGCCCGAGCTTCCCCCAACCCCAGCCCCCAGAACAGGGAGCTATCCGCAAGCCTTCGGAGCGCTCAGAAGGCTTGCGTATAGCTGCCTGAAGCCGCATTCGCTCCATCACGGACGGCACACCCACGATTTCCCCTTCATTTTTGGAGGGGGGGAAAAAATGCGTCCTATATGGAGCGAATAAGCTTACGGTAAAAGGTTTTATTTATACCGTCCGCCCTCCCGGGCAGAGCCAGTATCAGTAGCGGCTAACACCACGTAAAAATTGCAGTAAAAACATAATATGGGGCGAAAAAAACCATCGCCAAATTTAAAAATACAGGTTAAAATGGCATTTAAAATACAGCCTCATTTGTTAAAATACAGCCCACCAGATCACAAACCATACAGAGGGAGGGTAAACCACATAGGTCAGACTGAGTCCAAACCAAAGGCCAGGTGGACAGCTCTGTCTTGCAGGCCCTGCAGAACGATGTCAAATCCCGGCATGGGCCCTTAGTCTCTTGTGACAAAGCCGTTGCACGGCAAGTCGGGGCTAGTACTGGAAACGAGGCCTTGGCCCTACTATGTGACCAATCTAACCACCTTGCGACTTGGGACCTCCAAAAATGTTGTCATTTGTGGACCTTAAGGTCCTCCACGGGGCATACCAGGGAGAGGCGGTCCCGTAGGTACGTGGGTCCTGGGCCGCAATTAAAAACAATGCATGTCATGCTGCCATTCCTATAATACTAGTTTAACGAACTCATTTCCGGGTTGAAATTGTCATGATCCAAAATGTTTCATCAACCAGGCTGTTCGTAACCTGAGGTACGATGTACAAAGCCATTTATACATTACTAACTATTGTGATAAGCTACCTTGATTACTTTACTACATGAAAGTACAACTTTACATTAAAACACCAGATCATCACATACATGGGATGCATTTAAATTTGATTTCCACCTATAGGAGCCTGTTCATTAGAAGGAAGAAATGAACCCTTGAGAGAGCCAGTGTGGTATATGTGGTTAAGAGCGGTGGTTTGTAATCTGGTGAACCGGTTTCGCGTCTCCGCTCCTCCACACGCAGCTGCTGGGTGACCTTGGGCTAGTCACGCTTCTCTGAAGTCTCTCAGCCTCGCTCACCTCACACAGTGTTTGTTGTGGGGGAGGAAGGGAAAGGAGAATGTTAGCCGCTTTGAGGACTCCTTAGGGTAGTGATAAAGGGGGATATCAAATCCAAACTCCTCCTCCTCTTGTTGAGGATAAATCTTTCTACACTCCATACATCTAAATGGTTCCTTCCATATAAGTCCGTAAACATTTTGTAAGTACTCCATTAAACAGAAGCAGTTTCTGCACTCCTGGAATTTAAATGTTTCTTCCTTTCTGAGTCCATTGATGTTTTGTAAGGTGTCCACTCTGACTGAAGTTCTTTCCACACTCCATACATTTAAATGGTTTCTCACCTGTGAGTCTGTTAATGTACTCTTAGTTTCCTTTAGACTGAAGCTCTTTCCACACTTCATACATTTGCTGTATAAGGTTTCTCCCCTGTGTGAGTCCTTTGATGATTACTTAGCGTTCCACTATGACAGAAGCTCCTTCCACACTCCATACATTTAAATGGTTTTCCCCCCTGTGCAAGTCTGTTGATGTAGTCTTAGAGTTCCCTTTTGACTGAAGCTCTTTCCACACTCCATACATTTAAATGGTTTCTCCCCTGTGTGCGTTCGATGATGTAGTCTTAGAGTTCCCTTTTGACTGAAGCTCTTTCCACACTCCATACATTTAAATGGTTTCTCCCCTGTGTGCGTTCGATGATGTAAAGTCAGACGATCACCTGAACGAAAGCTTTTTCCACATTGCAAACATTTACAAGGTCTCTCACCCGTGTGAGTTTGATGATGTCTATTAAGTGATGAACTCTGACTGAAACTTTTTCCACACTCCATACATTTAAATGGTTTCTCTCCTGTGTGACTCCGTAAATGTTTTCTAAGGTTTCCATTATGTGTGAAGCTCTTTCCACAGTCCATACATTTAAATGGTTTCTCCCCTGTGTGAGTTCTATGATGTAAAGTCAGATGATCACTTGAACGAAAGCTCTTTCCACATTCCATACATTCATATGGTTTCTTCCCTGTGTGAGTCTGTAGATGTTGTCTAAGGCTTCCATTATGTGTGAAGCTCTTTCCGCAGTCCATACATTGAAATGGGTTCTCCCCTGTGTGAATCCGTAGATGTTGTCTAAGGCTTCCATTATGTGTGAAGCTCTTTCCGCAGACCATACATTTAAATGGGTTCTCCCCTGTGTGAGTCCATTGATGCTGTCTAAGATTTCTACCACTGTTGAAGCTCTTTCCACATTCAATACATTTACATGGTTTCTTCCTTGTATGAGCCTGTAGATGTTGTCTAAGGTTTCCATTATGTGTGAAGCTCTTTCCACATTCGATACATTTAAATGGTTCCCCCCCTGTATGAGTCTGTAGATGTTTGCTAAGGTTTCCATTATGTCTGAAGCTCTTTCCGCAGTCCATACATTTAAATGGTTTCTCCCCTGTGTGGGTCCGCTGATGGTTGCTAAGGATTCCATTATGTGTGAATCTCTTTCCGCAGTCCATACATTTAAATGGTTTCTCCTCTGTGTGGGTCCGTTGATGGTTGCTAAGGTTTCCATTATGTGTGAAGCTCTTTCCACACTGCATACATTTGTAGGGTTTTTCACCCATGTGAGTTTGATGATGTCTATTAAGTGATAAACTCTTACGGAAGCTTTTTCCACACTCCATACATTTAAATGGTTTCTCCCCTGTGTGAGTCCGTTGATGGTTGCTTAGCGTTATGCTATGACAGAAGCTCTTTCCACACTCTATACATTTAAATGGTTTTTCTGTTGCGTGAATCCTTTGATGTACAGTAACTTGACTACTCATACTGAATCTCCATCCACACTGCATATATTTGTAGGGTTTCTCACTCATGTGAGTTAGATGATGTAAAGTAAGAGATGAAGTTTCCACACTCCATACCTTTAAACGGTTTCCCCACTCTGTGAGTTTATTGATGTGAGTTTATTAACTGTGCACATGGACTGAAGCACATTCCACATTCACATTTAAATGGTCTCTTCGTATTTCCAAATGAAATTACAGATGACACACTGTCTTCTCCATAACCTGCTTGGAAATGAGAGGAGAGGAAACCCCTGTTAGTATTTCAAGGAAGAGAACAAAGACTGTAACACACATCAAATGCAATTAGCACCTTCTCTTATTTCAACCTATTGTACATTCCTCCCTGTCTTCTTTATGTTCCAAATTTTAAGCAAATGAGGTGAAACAGTGCCAGATAATAGGAACGCATCATCAACCTTCCATAATACTAACTCATCATTAATAAAGTAGTTTGATCTAAGAATACAGTTGTGGGATTGCCTTTTTAAATAAGGACCTGCCTGAGAGTTGCTAATGACATTTTTCATTCTCCGTGTAATATTATTCCACCTCTGGGGAACATTTTAGCCCTTTGAACCTCTGCATATTTATTAATCACCCACACAGTCCCTTGGGCCCCAGGAGGTGCATAGCAACTGTCAGTGTTTGTAAAAAGCAAAAAAGGAGGTAAGGGTTTTGACCTCCCTTTGTCTCCTTAGCCTGGTCCTCGGACCCTTGTCGGCACAAAAGAGTCCACGAGAATATCCTTGCAGAGTTTTATTCTTAAAAGTCTTTGTTCAAAAGCAACTGAACAACTATACACACCAGCACTAACCAACCCAAACACCAGCAACCAAACTAACATTTCTCACTCTATATATACAACTTGGTGCAGGTCGCTGAGTCATGCTGACCCAGCTTTATTCGCATTAAAGAAACAGCGGCCATTTTAGCCGTGACACCCCTTCTGTTTCTTAAATCCGAAAGACCCCAACAGAACCAATACATACATACACTATATACATAAACCCAGTTTTGTCATCAATTCATTATGACATGTTGCTGGCAAAGGCTTGGTAAAGAAATCAGCAATATTATCTTGTGACTGACAATACTCCAGTTTGATTACCCCATTCTGTACACAATCTCTCACATTCGCATGACGGATAGCAATATGTTTTGATGCGGATTTCATTATTTCCGAGCCCGCTAATGCAATGCACGATTGCCTATCTTCATACACTTGGATAGGCAAATCTACTTTACAATCTAGATCTTTTAGTATCTGTATAAACCATATGATTTCATTGCATGCTAGCGACAGGCTCCCATATTCTGCCTCACAGGATGAGGTTGCAACAAATCCTTGTTTCTTGGAATTGGCAAACAACATAACCATTCCACTTGTAGATTTTCTAGTAGCTACACAGCTTCCCCAGTCCACATCAAAAAATGCTTCTAGTTTTTCATCTTGTGTACTAGATATCTTTAAACATACATTTAATGTCCCCTTTAGGTATCTGATAAGCCTTTTCAAAGCACACCAATTGGCAGTACTGGGTTTAGATACACGTTGGCTCAGAACATTTGTAGCACATGCAATGTCTGGCCTTGACCACTGGCTTAAATACAACAGTGATCCTATTTTTGAGTGATACAACTCAGGCTGATCAAATTCATCATCACACACTGTCTTTGGGAAATCTGGTGTCATGGGAGTCTGAACTGGCCTGCAGTTTTCCATGCCAAACTGCTCTATCAAATGAAGAATTTTCTCTTTCTGGCTTAATAGAAAGCTTCCATCAGCTTCCTGCCTTACTTCTACTCCCAAGTAATTGCTTACAGGCCCCAAGGCTTTAAGCTTAAACCTCTTTTCCAGTTGACTTGTGAGCTTCTGGATCTAATATGTGGAACTCCCTGCTACAAGCAAATCATCAACAAAGACTAAGAGCATTAGATATTTGTTGCCTGTCCCCTTGGTGTACAGGCATGGATCAGCCACACTCCTTTTAAAACCAAGTTTTACAAGGGCTTCATTTAAACACTGGTTCCAACACCTTTCACTTTGTTTGAGACCATAAACAGCCTTTCTCAACTGCACCATTCTCCTCTTCAAAACCAGGGGGTTGTCTCATTAACACTTCATGGTCTAAATTTGCATGCAGATATGCAGCATCAACATCAAAATGGTGCACTGCTAGTTGTCTTACAGCAGCAATAGAGAGCATTAAACGAAAAGTTTCACTCTTTGCAGTGGGAGAAAACACTTCATCATAACTCTCCCCTTTTATCTGAGTGAACCCTCTGGCTACTAATCTGACTTGAAAACGTGGTTCCCCAGATGCAAGGGTTTTCCTTTTGTAAACCCACTTGCATGACACCACTCTGCCACTTGGAGGCGGCATTATGACCTCAAACACTTTGTTACATTTAAAAGAGTCCATTTCTTCTTTCATAGCTTGTTCCCACAAAGCACGTTCTTCAGGGGGTAAGTCTAAGACTTCATTATAACTTTGTGGTTCCACACAACTCACATTACATACTCTCACTCCTCCTAGGGTCAAACGCTGAGGAGGTACACCCTTGTTTGAACGCTGGGAGCGCCTAGGCACAACTACTTCTTCTTCCCCCCTTATCTCTGGCTTTTCTTCCTCTTCCTCTAGAGAAGAAGTATTATCTATTGCCACATCCTTTGGGGAAATCTGTGCCTCCTCCTCATCCTGCTCCTGTGTTGCCAATGGCTGAGAAGAAGCCTCTTCTCTTACTTGCAGGGGCAGTAGGCAATCTGGGTTGGCATGGATCACAGTCCATCTGTCCTGGTCAGCAAAGTCTGCACTTTGTGACAGAACCATGCGTCCTGGGCATAAATTGAAGCGCCACTCTTTGCCATAGGACTGATATCCCACAAACCACAGTTTCTGCGCTCTAGCACCCCCTTTCTGGCACTGAGCTTTGGGAATATTTACATGTGGCCAAGAATCCCAGTTATGGAGCATTGTCCACTCTGGTTGTTTCCCAAACAACACACGATAAGGAATATATTTTATAGAGCTAGACCAGGTTCTATTAATCAAAAAGTTCGCTGTAAGGAGAGCCTCGCCCCACAGCCTATGGTTGTGGCCCAATCCTGCATCCACTAGCAGGCAGTCCTTTACTGACTGTATTACAGCCCCACGTCTTTCCCACAGACCATTTTCAGCAGGGCTATAAGGGTTAGTCAAGCGATGAGTGATCCCCTTACGTTGCAACCATGCCCCAAATTGTTTGTTCAGAAATTCTCTGCCCCTATCTGTTTGCAACTGCACAACAGGGTAAGCAAAGAGCTTTTCAGCTTGGGCAACCCATTCTCTGAATGTGGGGAAACACTCAGATTTCTGCTTTAACAAAAACAACCAACTAAAACGTGATTTATCATCTATTACCAGAAAAGCATATCTGGCGCCCCCTTCAGTCTTCTGTGGAAAAGGGCCTATCATGTCACAATGGACAAGTTCTAAAACCTCTAGATACTCTGTCACTTTTAGAAGCCACAGGCTTCCTCTTAGATTTGGCCATTTTACATACATTGCAATCTAGGAAACAGTTACAGCTATTTACTTTTAGGTTCTTGCACACCTTTTGCATTTCTGAAAGCACACGGAAATTGGCGTGACCCAGTTTTCTGTTCAGTTCATGTACACACCCCTTATGAACTGGCAAATTATCCCGAACCACCTGGGCTGCTTTAACAGGCTTGTCCTGCATTACATATAACCCATTTTCCAACTTTGTATGGCCACATACCTGAGTTCCATTCTTTATCAGACAACCATCCCGTGTGAAGTTAACACTATATCCTGCATTAATCAAACTGCTTACAGACAGCAAACAATAGTCCAAACTGCTGACAAACAGAGTCTCTGGTAGAGTAGTGTTCAAGCACTGCAGGAAACATGTTCCCTGGCCATCAATCTTGCTTCTACAACCATCAGCAAGATAGATTGAGTCTTTTCCATCAGCTGGCTTCCCCAGGGTCTTAAAGTCCTCCCGACTGTTGCAGATAATCCTGCTGCTCCCAGAGTCCAGCAACCATGTTCCTCGAGGTATCTTCCTCTCCTCCCGAGAAAATGCAGACACAAACTGAGCAGAACGCGTGTTCTTCTTCACTGAAGAGAACCCCTTCTGCTTACGTTTCTGCGTTGATTGCTGTCTCTGCTCCACGTCGTCTCCTGGAAGTCTAGCCCTGCACTGACGTTGGAGATGCCCGGGTTGGTTGCATCTATAGCACCTCCTCACCGCCATGGCCAAGTCCAAACCTTGGTGTTGCTCCATGGACAGATTCTGCTGCTGGCCCCCTCGGCTATAACTCCTCCGCTCTTGGAGTTCAGCTTGTTTATCTGACCTTCTTTCTGCTTCTTCAGTCAATCTGCCAACCACATATACTCAAGGGTCAGATCTCGGGGACGCATACTCTCCATGCTGTTAATCACAGGCAACCAGCTTTCAGGCAAACTTGAAAGGATAATGTAGGTTTGGTCAGTCTCATCATAACGCTTACCTCTCTGTTGTAGTTGAAGAAACAGAGATTTCAGAGTTTGAAGATGAGTTGCCAAACTCTCACCTTCCCTCATAACAGTCCTGAACAGCCTTCTGGTCAGAGAAATTATAGTTCCAGCAGTTTCTCTGACTTGCCCTTAATAAATTACAGCACTCAAATGCTGTGCTGGCATTTGCTACATGCAATAACTGAGAGTTGCTCAAACAAAGCATAATTTGGGCACCAGCCCCTTCATCCAGCCGTTTTTTCTCAGCAGAGTCAGTTCTCAAAACCTCAGTTTCAACACAGTCCCATAGTCCATCTCTCCTTAACAACTGCAGCATTTTAATTGACCAACTCAGCCAGTTGTTTTCTGAGAGAAGTTCAAAAGGGATGCCTGCCCCAATATTTACAACTTGGGAAGACTGGAAATCTGCCATCTCTGCTGGTGCTTGCTGAGCCCCTTCTGTGGGGTCTCCAGCAATCTCTCCTGACTCTCTCTTTAGAGTCCAACTGGATGGTCCTGGCGGGCACTCACCGGCTTCTAGCTGCTGCCTCTGTTGACCTTCAGGTCCCGCCTGGCTCTGCAACTGGTGTAGCCACTACTGTGGTCCTCTAGCAGTTCAAACTGTCCCAGTAGCCGAAGTAGAGTGCTTTCCTTAGCCTAAGATCCTAGCCGCTCCAGCGTCACTGCAGACAGTTACAGCTTGCCACCAACTGCTCCAAC